AAGGATCCAGCATTGACATTATACACATTTTTGGGTGGTGGGTATAATGGGCTAGTTTTAGTGTGGTTCCATGGACCAGCTGCAGTGGACTAGGTGTGCTCCTGGAAAATGCCTTTTGATTTAGTTTCACATAAAATTGCAGTATGTGGGGATGTTTCTCTTCAAAGAGCCCACTCCTCAAAAAGTAGACATACCAGCATACCAGTGTCTTCTGTGTATCATATAAACCATACATCATTTGTTTCGGTGAGAAAAGTCAAAGCCAGAATATGACACACTAGAAATATTTCAAAGAAAAAGTAAGAAATGAGTCTTGAAATGCAACTAGCATCTACAACAATGACTGAATACAGAACAAAGTAATACAGCAACAAAGTTCAGAGAAATGTGGTTAAAAATGGAAATCCCCATCCATAAAACCCACACAATATTTCTATAGTTATTCATTAGTGAACAAAATGAACGAATCATTCACCTGTATTCGTTGGTTCTTTCAGGGCTATTCTGACACAGAAAATACAGCTAGGAAAAATATGACTGTATTAGTGACAGAAGATTTAAAAAACACAACAAAACAAATAAACAAACAAAACAACAACAACAAAGAACAAAACCAAAAAGACACCAAATCAACAACTTCAAAGTAAAGTTTTAAGTGTTTTTCAAGATGCCAAGATTCACCAAGTTTGTTAGAAACTTTAGCACGTCTCACCTTTCCGTGTGTTAGAAGAAAAGCTAAGTATATACTTAGAGATTCTGCAACCATCAAAAATAATATTAAGTAAAAGCAGAATGTAACACAGATTGGCAGTTAATAAGGAATATGAAGATGACTGGAGTTGTGCAGCCTGTATGGACTTCTAAGATCCCCTTGCCGCATAACCCAAGTGATTTATTTGGTTTTCATCTTGTTTTTTGTTTTAGAAATAAAGGTCTGATTCTGCCATCATTAGTCACAACGAGTAGTACCTGACTCTGCAAGTAATCCCTATTGATTTCAGTATTAATTCTTGTTAAATACTTGTTCATACAGGAGAAAAGGTGCCACTAAGGAGAAGTTAGGAGGATTCATGTACTATTTCATCATATTGGCACCTGTTTTTTCCCCCCTCCCTGTTATTGTGTGTGCATTCTACCATGTCTCTATTTCAATTCTCTTTTTTTTCTCCCCAGCCCTTTTCAGATCTTACCTATGCCTTCCTGTCCCTTCCTCCCTTTCAGTCCCCTGTGAATCTCAAACTCCATCACATCTCCAACTGTCAGCAAAGAGACAAGCCAGAATGGGTCCAAGTCCACCATGTTTTTTTGTTACCTGTTTCCAAACTGCACAAAATGTTGCTGGACCTCTGTTTATACTTGCCAAGTTCTAGGTATCCCCCATCCCTACTTGAAAGGGGCTGTGAAGGACAAAAGCACGTGTAGAAGTTTCGGAGATTCACTAAAGTAGCATTCCCAAATCTACCCTCTGTCTGTATGGAGGAGCAAGATGTTACTCATTACCCACTCTGCCTTCCTGTATCAATGCAGGGTAAACTCCTGTGACCTTGCTTTTTTAACACATATAGGAATATGCAAATTTTGAATAAACACAAATGCATCCTTCTAAAACAAAATGCTCATTCATGTTCCCTCGGGGAATGGTGAAAGAACACACTGTCTTTGACGGCTAAGTCAAGTTACAGCAATACAGGAATGGGTATATGATAATCTTATTCTCTCTCTTTTACTGTTCCATTAGAAGCAAGTAGAGATTACATCCACTGTATTATGTTTAGAGGAAAGAAAATACTGAAAAAGGGGGAAAAAATTACCAGAAAGACCCATCTTATTTCAACTGCACTGAGAAAGTTGTACACAATGTATTTCAGAAAGCTTTCCTCTACGACCTCACCATTTTATCCTGTACATTTCATGTGCTATGCACAGGTTTCTAAGAGAACCAGCAACTAGGTTTGGATGTGCAACTCAGATTCCAGCTCATCTATATTCTTGGCTGTTGAGTTACCTTTTTAAATATCTACAACCATTAGGAGTAATTCAAAATATATTGACATCTCCTATTTCTCGTACTTGGCCTGAGTTCATTCTTCTCCTTTGGGAGATGAATGTTTCAAGCTTCACTTTTCCATTTCACTGCTCTAGTGGCTCACTACAACATTTGCAGAGCCAGGATGGTGGATTTGTAGCTTCTGAATGAACTATAGTTGCTTATATCATCTTCAGAATATCAATCTTCAGGACTTCTCCTATTTACTAGTTTATTCCTAAAATAAACTTTGCTTTTAAACACCAGATGGCATTTCCACAGCAAGATGGCTCAGGGTACTAAAAACGTTTATCCCATGCTCTCAGAGAAATTTCTAGTTAGATTCTACCTAAAATAGGTTATTGATTCTATTCAGTACATGTTTTTAACTTTCTCCTGTTTAACACTTTACTGTAATATGGCATCTAAATACTAAGAAACTTCTAAATGCCAGATACACATAATATTTATTTTAAAAAAATGAAATGTGTCCTTACCTATGGACAAAATGAATGAAATACATCCTCAATTTAGAATAAATGAGAAAAAGTCATGTGTAACCCCCATGCAAATTAATTTTTATAAGAGGAAAAGAAAACACAAAAAAAGCTAGCGAGCATTTATTTTAGATTCTAGAAGTGTTTCTGAAGGAACAAATGGTAGATGTTTAAAACAAGTCATTTGTGAGTAGACAAAAAAATGTATTTTTTAAGGAGTTTTTAAAGTGATCAATGAATGTTATAGGAAAGAGCAGGTGTTGGCCCCTTCTACTCTGTAAAACAAAGAACCCCACAATCTTCTGAAGCACAATATAGCAGTAATTGTAGAGGAAAAACAGGAGAGGCAGCCTTAAAAACAGTCCAAACAGTGCCTGAAAAATTTGTGCAAAATATTTTTAAAGACATTAAAGAGTCCTTATGTATACCTGTTTAAGAACTGGGTGTATCCCATTCTAATTTCTGCACTATTACGACATTTGCCAGCTAAGCTCTGATGCCAATATTGTTATTGTTAAAATGGCAACATGCGGAGCTATAGGAACTATTGCAAATAAATATTTATCTGTCAAGCAGTATTCTGCGGTGAAGCATATTTCATTTAAGAAATGCATGCAAGAAAATTCTTATTCATCCTAACAGCACTGAATTACTAAGATACAGGAATATTTTCTGATTTCTCGGAGTGTGTATCTACCTCCCGAATTATACCTAGGAATTACATCACAGAAAATATTAGACTTCCATGAATCACAGAACTTTCTAGGAATACTTTTGATAAACAAAACAAAGAGCAAAGTGAGAAAATAATAAAACTGGAAAAGGTCCAATAAAGGGTAACAACTTGATGTCTATTGCAGGTGAGCATCATGTATGTAAAATCGCTTTAAAGTTGCCACAGACCTTCAGGTGCAGGTCTAAGCAGGACTGGGCCTCTTACCTTCTCTAATTTATTTCACCTACAAATGATTCTCCAGGTTGTTTACTCTAGATAGGTGTTGTCTTAATGCTAGGACAGACTGAGGTGTAAATGATACATCAATCACCTTTATATTAGAACATTCTTCTCCAAACAAGAGAAGCCGGAGGACAGTCTGTAGTCATGACCAGATTGCAGTGAAAGAGGTATTTACATAACCATCTCATGCTATGCATGCACTCTGTTCAGTTTAAGTTAGGTGACTTATATCCATGGGTCCTTCCCATAGGGAAGTGAGAAAAGGAGCTGCTACTTGGATCTTTAAAAATTTGCAGAAAATGCAACTGTCTACATTAGCTCCTGTTTGTAGTCATCTGGAAGAAATGGGAGCCATAAAATAATTCTATAGAAATTATAAATAAAATCTTCAGTAGAATGTCTAAATCAAATCAGAAAAAAAATGTAAAAATTGCAGGATTTCACTAATTTCAGCTACTCCATTTTCACAAAATCATGCTAGCAGAGAAGAAGAGAGATATGAATTAATTTCTTCAGTATAAGCAATTCCTATTAATTTCTGTGAAAGCTGCATGAATCAAGGGTAATAGACCACCATTAAGATATATGTAACCGAAAGGCTGTTGACTTTCAGAAATCAGTTAAACTAGGGTAGCTGAAAGACAAGTTAATATATTTTTAATTAGATCTCCATTTGCTCAAGATAAAGATTGCGATCTCAGTGTGAAATGTATCTCAAAATATCGAGCCAAACATGTGGTCTGAGAAAAGTTATTTCTTAATGTGCTAAACATCTGCACTTGGACTAAGGGGTCTGACTAAATAAGAAATCCTTGCAAGACTGATTACCTTGATGGTATGATATCTGGGCACTGTGTGCCTATTTAGATCTATGTGATGTCTAGTGTGAAAATAACATACACAGTAATAAGTATAAATAGTCTAAAATTACCTTGCAAATAGAACTGCTTGGTATTGGTTAAGAGAGAAATCCTTCGACTGGTAAATAACTTTAAACATTAACTAAATTAACTACACCATTAAATTCTAGTTGTTACTAATAAGCATTCCAAAGCATGTTATTCACACAAATGCAACTTGATATGTTGTGATTTTAAGCAAGTAGAAAATAAGGAACTATTGGCCCTAGTTCAGCAAAACTGTCAAAAGCCAGTGATGAGTCAAAGGCAACTCTTTCTCACTCTGAAGACTGAAACACCTCCTCTTTGAGATGTGTTAGGAACAGCAGGCTATCTGCAAAAGTCACATTGTCACGGTGAGAAGAAAAACCTGGTGATATGTGATATCCATATATTTTCATCCCCTAAAGAGGCTAAAAACCCCATCTGATCTACCTACAATGCATCTGGAAATGAGATGACAGATCTCCAGTTCCTGTGAGACCACATCCCTATCTCATGGGGCAAGCCAAGAGAAGGTTGACCAGTTTCAGTATGTGCAGACAAGCAAGTGCACTCTTCCACGGTGACTAAGGAGTGACCTAAAAAAAAAAAAATCTTTTTATACCTTACCTCTTAGAAGAATGTTCTGTGTACAGGCAGGGTGGACCAGAACTGAACTCCGCACCAGCGTGTTGGATTCCCAAAACCTCGATGGCTGTGTTAGATTACACAACTGGCAAAATAAAACTGATGCAGATTCTTGAATTAGCTGGCTGTGAGGCAAGGAAGTAATGATTTATAGTGTTCATGCTTCTCATTTTAGCTTGGATTTTTCATGAATTTTAAAACTGTCATTGGCTTCATTTGGCATTTGCTCTTTTCTCACTACATACACTCTACCAGATACATAATTTAGAATTCCGCAACCACAATTTAAGTAAAAAAAAAAAAAGAAAAAAGACAGATTCATTTTCTTTCAGCCTTCTTAGAGACTTAAAACAAAGCTCTGGGTTTTTAAAAATCTAAATAAAAGGAAAAAGGAAGTGTTTTTCAAATAAAAAAAGTGTTTAAAAAAGAATATTTATCAAGCTATACCAAGGAAAATACATTGCTGCCCTCACTCTGTTTTAAATAGGTGCAACCAAAATATTTGTAACCAAAATTTTGAAGAGGATGAAAGGCAGATCCAGCCAGTTTGCATTTATCGTATATTGATTTATCACTAAATCTCTCATCTTATGCTTGAATCTTGGTGCATTGAAGACAGATAAATCCTTCACTATAATAGCTCTTCTACCTCTCAGTATGATGCAGAAAAATAGAAATATGCTGGTACCAAAACTACCAGATCCCTGTAGCTAGGTGTTTTATATAAGATCCTCAGCCTTGAATTTATCTGATTTTCATATCAATACTTTGCAGTATATTTTCAGCTTCTTTTGTCCCGTATGGCAGGGATATCGAGTCACAAGGAATGCCGTAGGTGGGGTTCAGGGGCGGCACGTAGAACATGGTTTAGTGTCTACTGAAACAGCTACAAGATTTGTCACTTGCCTACATAGTTCCAAGAAATCCCTCTAGCACACGCTAGAAGAGATCCACACATGCCAAGCTTATTGGATTTAAAGGAGAAAAGGTTTTACTCCCGGAAGACTGGGGGCAAAAGATCAAAGTAGTTGAATTGCGTCTGTATGTTACAAAGGAAGTATATTTTATCAGAATAATATATTTGGAAGTCTGACCTTTATGAGTACAAATACAGGTCTGGTATTAACAATTTGTTATGAGTAGTAGCAGTTCCGATATCATTATTAGATGGCACTTTGAAGCCCACCTTGAAAGACTTGGTCCTTCACGCTGTCAGTCTTTTCTCCAGTAGTGTAGTTCAACCTGGGATAAACATAAATATGATTGATCACATTTCTGAGTCACATTATTATCACTGACTTATAGCACCAGCTATATTGAATTTGCATCTCCGAAGAATATTTGGGATACCATGTGGTGAGCCTTGGGCAGAGTGATCAAAAGCTGGAGGTATTTTTCACACAATTTCTACATCCTTGTGATGGATTTTTCTGGCATTTTCATGTGAGATTTGGAGACATTTTTCTGACTAGACGACAGGACCGTGTATTTAAGGATTCTGCCCAAAAGTGACAGTTGGCAATCTAATTGTAACAAACATCCCACTGGTTTGGGCAAGAAATTATGGATACTTTTCCAGTAGTAATGCTACTTTGAGAAAAATTGAGATAACCCAATGGGAAAGAATCAAGATGGAAATAGTAAAGATTGTTCTTTAGATGACTTTTTCTAAATAGTAGATAAGATTTCTCCCATTAATTTAACATATTTACATAAATATTAAGCTTTCAAACTGAGCAATAATCAGTTATCTTCCTCTGAAGCAGACAAACGGAGTTATTAAAAATACATCAACTGTTTGGGGGAAATGGAAAGGATCGGCTTCCTCTTTCTACACCACTGGAGCCTCTTAATTGCTGTGTGCTACACAAAGAGGAGTGTAGAACAGAGTCTGAGCATGGAATCCAGCGACCCCAGAAGGTGAGGTCCATATTAAGAAATCTGCAGTGCAGTTCTCCACCCACAGTGAATCTACTTATTTTTTCTGAGTAAATAGGAAACAGTTTTTAAAAATGGTACTTTTTGCACTAAAACACACTTCCAAACATGTTGCAATGTTTTATGCTTGGTTCTGACTAATGTGATTAAACACCAAGTACAATAATTTGATTAGACTCACTTAACAGCCCCACTTAAATTTAAATTTCTTCCTCTGTCCGGAAAATATAAAATATGATGTACCAAGTTGCATGGCAAAATTTCCCAATTATTAATCCTCTTATTATATATATGAGAGAATAGTTACTATGAGATCAAGATAAAAGTCCAAAAAGCTGTTCTCTTTCACTGCCACTATAAAAGTATCTTTCTGTCTACAGAGCCTCAGACAGCCACTGGGGCCAAGCCAGGATTCCTGTAGTGAAACAATCGACTTGGCATCATGTTGACACATATAAACAACAGTCTGTCAACAGGCCTCACATTAGTGACAGAACATTTTTGGCAAAACAGTAGCATCCTTCTGGGCACTGTGGCAATAACAGCCAGTAGCATCCATTCATGCCTTCACTCTACAGCACAATATTAATTAAAAGATTATAGCAGTGACACTTATCCAAAAAGCTAAAAAAACACAGAAATATCCATGCAGAAAAGGAGAATGTTTATTGAATGAGAATATGCCTCTAGCTTCTTTTTCATACAGTAATTTTAAACTTGAGCACTGTATGTAACCTCTGACAGTTCACAATTAGCAGATAAATGCAACTGCTTGCTTGAAAATGGCTATATGAAGTGTATATACACACACACGTGCCATCAACTTATGTAAATCAACTTCACTCTAGCCTGAAATAAAAAGCACAAAACAAATAACATTGTTGATGAAAATAAACAGTGCTGTAGGCTTTTTTTCTTTTTTCTTTTTTTTTTTATGAAGGTCAAAATTAAAAGAGAATCACTGGTTTAAACTTTTTTGTATTTTGCCTTTTTTAAGCCATCTCTAACACTTAAAAATATATGTAAAGAAGTTCATATGTATGATAAATAACTGTCAATGAGTTAAAACAAGGTGTGATAAATATTTCAGCTAGTTAATGCCTTTAACATAACCATTCTGCTTTTTAACTTTTTACTAACTCCTTTATATATGAGTCATGTTTATTAATAATCTTTTATAGTCAATGGATCAAAATTAGAGATAAAATATAGAAGGAAACTTGGAAGGATGGAGAAATATCAATTACCTGCTGGCAACTGGATGGAAGCTCAAATAGTAAGAAAATATAATGCGCAGAGGAAAGTGGATGGCATCCAAGAATTCCAGAAAAAGCATAACATCAGTTCTGGAAGTTGTATATGCAAATTAGTACAGTAGTTTGTCTGGGCTAATTATCCTTACTGAAATATCCCACATTGCGTTGCAAAGAAATACCCTGAACTCACTTGACAAAAGGTATAATGTGTATGGCATTCACAGGCCCAGCATAGGAACCTAGAGAAACATAGCTGGAGAAGAAGTGAGGAGAGACCTTTAGCATTCATGTGATTCCTCTGACATACTATTTTGTGACTAAACCATCCTAGACAGATATTTGTCTTTGCCTAAGCATTTGGTGGTACAGATTCTTTAACTTTTTTTGTACATTTTATTTCACTCCCTGAAAACTTTTCGAGTAACATCTCATGTCTTTCCTTGGTCCCATGGAACAGTGGACTTGACTTTCTCATTATTAAGCATCTGAAGGGCACTGAGCTTCTTCAGGCTAAATCAAACCAGTTATTCTAATCTTGTGAGATTCACAGCAACAGGTATGCGAATGTAAGGACACCTATTGCCAACAGTTTCCAGACAGCTGAGCTGCCTCTGAGGTGTGACTTCTCTCCTTTTGCAAGGATGATAATTTAAGCTTTTTCCATTGAGTAAAACACATAAATCCTCTCCTCTGGAAGCTGGAAAGAGTTAATTTTCTCTTTTAAAACAGCTGGTGATAAACTTACAGTTAGAGCATTCACTTCAGAGTGCGCCCCTACTGTCTGACTACAGGTTAGGCAGCGTTTCTAAGGCAAAATAAAGAGAAAGTAAGCAAGAGTATGGGATGCCTCACACAGGAGCATTCAGCTTGAAAAGCCATCACCTGATTTTCAGTTTCTGCTTGGAGGTTTCTTCATTAATTGCATTGTCTGATTTTTTTTAAAACTAAAATGAAGTATCTAAGAAAAAAAGCATTCTCTTGGAGGTCATATCCCTCACCACCAAGCTTCATGTGCTCTTCCCGTCCCTCCTGTGCAGCCCATGCACCTGGAGCTGCCTGACAGCCCTGATTCTAGAGAGGTGCGTGAGGGTGTGGTAGCCAAACCTGGTCTCAGCCTGATACCTCAGTGCTCTTCTGAGAGGGGCTTGTTTTTAGAGGGTTTTAATCTGTCTGGTAAGAGAAACTCACCTAGAACCTCTTCCAGTTTTAGGTGCAAATCTTCTAACTATGGGAAGTATCCGGGTAGTCATTTTCCTAAATCTGTGTCTTCCAGATCAAGAACCTAATTTTTAGCAATAATGGCAGGAACAAAGCCAAACGCATGTCGGAAACTTTCAGTTAAGATTGATAAAATTACCGTTTTTTGGCCAAATTCTTCATCTCCTCCATGTGCAGATACTAACTGAATTCATTATGTACATGCTAGGAGTGCGTGATGAGATCTAAAATAACACTTTGAAAAAGAATGCTCTTTTGTGTATGAGACATAAGCTACCTACAAAACAGCACAAAGAACCTCAACACGGCACTTGAGACAGTTCAAATGCCATGTTAGACTCCTTTTTTAACCAGCATGCTGTATCATAACATTTCCATATGCTCAAATCAAAGCAAAGGAAATAGTTAACTTAATGAGGGATTGTAAGACTTGCCTATGTAGCCGTCTTTATAGAGTTTAAAACAAAGAATGAATATTTAGGCAAAAATAGCAAAACCATTAATATACAAAGAATAATTATAACCTTTGCAAATTTAAACAGTTAGGATGATATTAACTGAGATCTACATTTTTTCTATCCTGAAGGAAATCTCAACATTTCTCTGATTTCATAATGAGATTTTGAAATTCCAATATTTTTATTTTAAAATGTCAAAATCAAATATATATATTGGGGTTTTTCATCAACAGAAAAGGTTTTTGCATTGCTATGTTTTGCATTGCTAGTTACATGGTGTCCCTAAACTTGCTTAGCTCAAAAAAAAAAAAAAGGTATTTTTCTGTCAGTGATGTGATCAACTGGAGATATTTACCCCTCAAAGTAACAGTGATCTGGTCTACAGCTGCCATATCGTAATGAAATATTGTGGGAAAGCACCAATTAAGTGCTAGTCAACAGATTGGAGCTGCACATTTTAGTGTCCAACCTTTCAACTAAAATGAGATATTTTGATTTTTAAATTAGAAAATTCAATCAGGAAAGCATGCTACAAAATAAAACAAAGCCAAAACAGAAAATCACATGACTTTGTAGAAATTTTATTTCCATAGAAAAAAAATGATCAGTCAAATGTGTGTCAGAGGTGGTTGAATACTGGAGTTTTGCAATTGTTGATTCTTCCACTATCCAGAGGGGAAGGAAAAGAATAAGAATGGAAGAAGTAATTATCAAAATATACTAAGATTTTTCTAAGATGCATATCTAGAAAAAGGCATCTAGATATCTCTAAAATTCAGCTGCTTTGCTTTCACAGGTAATGCTATCAAGGTCTGCAAATTTATTCCTGCATAAAGAAAATAAAATAAATGAGTAGCTCAAGTTTAGGCAGGTATCTTCTGGGCTTGCAACTCCTACAGATAGAATGCTGTTTATATTTTTTTTTAGTTTTTTTTTTTTTTATCTACTTTCCTCTAAAAACCAAAAGAATATAAACATGCTTTTTTGGTATAGGATTTCAAGTTTACTCTCCTGCTTCTGGGTCTCAAAGGAAAACGTCACAAGAAAGGAAATAAAATGACTCTTCAGGGGCTCAGAAAACATGAAATAAAAAGGCTTCAAATGATGAAATGTGTAGAGTGATTTGTGGTGGTTTGTGAAAGTTTTATTGAACGTTAACTAGCAGAGTGATACTGTAGCTTTCAGTCTTGATTCATCCCCTCCCAGCCATTTCTCTCCCCTGTTGTTCAAATGTCATAAGCTTTTTACATTTCAGCTGAGTTTCTTCTGACATTGAACAGAAGTGAGAAGGCTGAGAGAACAACTTCTAAAACTGTTGGTTTTCTCGTCTCACTGTCCTTATGTTACACATGGATGGCTCTTATCCATGGTA